GTAGTGGTTACGAATCGGGCTGCGAATCTTAAGGTCAGCGGTTCAAAACTACCAGCCGCTCCGCGGGAGAAAGATGAGGCTTTCTACTCCCGTAAAGATATATACTCTCGGAAACCCTATACAGGGTCGCTATGGGTCGGAACCGACTCGATGGCACTTAACAACAACAATATATATATAATCGTAAATACCCAAGGGGAGTGCTCTTCAACAGCTCCTTCTGCCTTTGCTGAGCTCAGGATCGATAATTGGAAAAAAAAAAAAAGATTACAAGGGTACATCGCTTACTTGGAGCTTGAAACACCTCCAGTCATCAGACACCTCCAATCTGCTAAGAGAGAACAATCATAGCCAAACATTCCATCGAGTTCATAATGTATTATTCCACTGTACTGGTTTCACTCTTCCCCAGCCCCACCCTCCCTGGGACCCCAGAGGGGGACAAAAAGAAAAAAGAAAAAACTCTTGTTTCTTTCCTGTTCTTCTTTGAAGCTCACTCTGCAATTGCAATTCCTTTTGGCATCTCCACTCCCTCGTGCACCCCAAAGTAACTTTCCCTCAATTTCCTTGATATTTTCCTGCCGAGGCACAAGTCCGCCAGCCTCGCCCCTTGCTCTTCTCCCCCAGGCCCCCGCCTAGGCTGGCGATGCCTCTGACAGCCAGACAGTAGCTCAGCGGGCTGCACTCAGTTTGCCTAGAGAGACCCGGCTCCCGCTCTTTCCCGCCGCCCGCCGTTCTCCAAGCGCCTGACCAGCAGTCGTGCCCTCGTTGGGGGCTGTGCGGAGCTGCAGGGCCGCCGGAGCGCAAGGGGCTGCAGTCGCTGCGACAAGACCCCGCTGGCCAGGCAGCGGCGACTGTCGGGGTCTGGCTCCCGGGGGCGCGGCGTACGCACGGCGAACCCCGAGACGCCTCGGCGGGGTTCCTTAGCTCCAAGGCGCTCCCTGGGGCGCAACCAACCTGCTGGGGCTCGTGCCCAGAGGCATAGGCAGGGGATGGTGGGGGCGTGACCGGAGCATGGATGAAAGCGAGCAGGACCTTGCCACGCTGCCCCCACGACGGGTGCGACGACGGTGCGGGGCAGCAGTAGGGCAGCCGGAGGGGCAGCGACATCTGCGGGCGGGCGGCTGAGCAGGGGCCCGGTACAGGTCGGAGGGGAGACGATGCCCCAGATTGTGCGGGCTGGTCGGCTTCGATCGCTGGCCACCAGACAGGGTCGTGGATTTCCGGTTGATGTCTGTCAACTCCCCACGAGCGACTCGGAGAGTCTGGCTCCCAGTAGGGACGGTAATGGTTCTCTTGTTCTCTCGCCTTTAGAAAGTTACTCTGTCACTTATGATAATCCATCCAAAGCTCGAGGGGAAAATACAATGACAGGTGGTCTACCCCCGGGTGAGGGTCCAGGAGCAAGCCATTCAGCGGAAAGAGCCAGGTTAGCGGGAGAGGCGCGTCCATCCCATTGACAATTCAGCCCCGGAAAGGGTTAACTGCAGTCGGCGGGTTAGGTTTACGCGTAAATAGAGAGCAGCTGCTCCGCGCGGGCCAGAGCTAGCTCTTTTTAGTTTTTGATTGGTTGCCAATGACATCACCGCTGGTGTTATAACACAGAAGACTCAAAGCGGCGTCGGATAACCCCTCCTTAAAGAGATAAGGCCACGCCCCCTAATATGCCCCATCTGGTAGCCCATTGGTCGCAGATGTCTATGAGGTGGCTGTTGTATTTCTCCAGATTCCTATTGGCAGTGCGCGCCATCGGTCGGTGGCGGGCCCGCCCCCTCAGAACCGTACATTTACAGTGTAGCAAAAGAGAAAGTAACTATGTTGCTGCTGGAGATCAATGAAGCCAAGTGAATGGGGGCTGAATGTGAGAAACCATAGCTGAAGCGGAGCGCCAAATGGTGGAGAGCTACACTTATTTATGAAGTAAGTGGAGGTCACCGCGACTACTACTGAGAGCTCGGGAGTGGAAGTGGAGAAGTAGAGGGTTGTGTGTGTGTGCGTGTGTGCGTGCTTGTGCGTGTGAGTGTGAGGATGCAATGCTGATGGGGGAGCCACAGTAGGCTAGGTTATAAGGTTCTGGCTCCCGCTGCCCGGTGCGTGTACTCTCTCTTGGACTGGGGGCGAAGAAAAATGAGGTTTGTTGGGATGCTTTGCAGTAGTTTTAAATTCCTGACGCTTGTTAGCGCGCTGTGTTGCGAAGGGGGAGATTAAAGTGCTCGCAGAGTGAGGAATGGGCATCTCCAACCACTTTATTTCCTCGCCAGCCCTAGCCTAGTGGTGGAAGGACGACTAGCAAGAGAGGGAGGGTAGCTCAGTGTTTGGGAGGTTTCCTGAGGCAAACTGGATGGTTTCACGGGCAATATTTCGGCCCGGCACTCTGCTGCAGGGATGCAGATCTCGTTATACTCGCTGTGCGTGTGTGCGAACCGCGCGTTCCGTGTGGACGTGGGGGGTCCCTGCGTGTTTCCGTGGACATGCTCAGCATGTCTCTCAGAGGAAATGGGCTGTTGATCCTGGGACAGACTCTACCAGGTAACACAATAGCAAAGACTGTTTGGTCCAGATGGAAAACAGAGCTTTTGGAATAGTACTCGCTCTTCAAAAAATACTACGCAAGGCAGAGAGTGAGGTGGTTGGTCCCTTGGCTTCCATCCAAAGGTGGGTGAGAGAAACCCGAATCGGTGGGGATCCGGGGACGTGATGGGTGTGTGCCCGTGTGTGTGTTTGTGTGTGTGTGTGAGAGAGAGAGAGAGAGAGAGAGTGAATTTCTGCCTGTGACACTTTCTAGAATAGTGACGGTTGTGTGTTAGAGGAATGATAAATGACATTTTTCCAGACAGCCCTTAAAGTTCGTTTAGGCAAACAGCTCTTGTTGGGTTTTGATTTCTTTTCTGTGTGCCTGTCTAATAGAAGGAAAGGAACCAACAGGACCATGGTGTAAAGTGCTCCTGTGTCTACAGGGAGAAAGTCCCTTTGCAGACACTCTCTGAAGATTCCTGAGGTGGACCCAGTGGTCAATATTTTACAAGGAACAGCTGATTGGGAAGTCCTCTTTATGGACTCTATGTGAAGTTTAGTCTTTTTTTGAGGGGGAAAGTATCCGTATGGGATGGGCGTATTTTACAGAGCAGTTTACTGTCTCCCATTGATGGCAGCCTGGTTTCATAGTCTGTACTAGTGGAGAAGAAGAAGGGGGAGAGTAGTTGGGGAGGTCCTGTCTTTTGAGGCAGGAGGTGGTAAGGGAGGTTCCTCAGGGAGCAATGGGTAATGGATATACCAACATTGGGGTTTCCATGCCTGCATCCTGGGCTTGAGGTTTACTTTAGAACATCAATCTGTAGTGAAAAAGGGAAATGCAGATGAATTTATAAGAGGCTAATGGAAAACAGGGGAGGTTTTAATATGACTATGTTGTGCTTTTCAGAGGGCTTGGTAGATTGGAAACTAAGAATAGCTCCTAGTGAAAGATTCATTTAGGGGGACGCGTTCTTTCTGATTTTGTCAGAAAGCTGACATCTGCCCCTGATGTATATTTAGCTGCTGTAAATTTCTGTGAGCCATGCCAACACTTTTGGCCATCCCTTTGCCTTTGCAGTGGATGAAGGAATTAAATGGAAAGCATGCAAGGGTGGACACAGGGATCTTTCTCAGACAGTTGCAGTATACTGCCTTGGGAACTGAGGCCCAGAAGAGGGCCTCATAAGAATCTTCCTTTTTGTCTTCAGCTTGTTTTTACAACATTTTGATGTTAAGTCCATATAAGTTTATTCAGTATTTGCATAGACTATATGCTTAACCTACACTTAATCAACCAAATTAGATGGGGCCCTCAGGGAGCATCCTCTTTGAATGCGTAAAAGCTGGGACTCAAGCCACACACTAAAGGGCATTTAGGATGACTTTGCTCAGAAGGTTGCAAAGGTCTTTCCTGAAGGATTGAAATAGTCTGCCTTTTGTGTCACATGACTTTATTTTCTCTTTCCCCTCTCGCCTTCTTCTTTGCAGACTGTCTTGAGTTCTTCTTGAATTGCCAGTTTTCAGCCTCCTCATGCCTCCGTCTCCTTTAGACGACAGGGTAGTAGTGACACTGTCTAGGCCTGTCCGACCTCAGGATCTCAACCTTTGTATAGACTCTAGCTACCTTGGCTCTGCCACCCCAGGCAGTGACAGCCACGTTCCTGTCATTGCCACTGCTGTTGTGTCACTCAAGGCTGCGAATCTGACGTATATGCCCTCATCCAGCGGCTCTGCCCGCTCCCTGAATTGTGGATGCAGCAGTACCAGCTGCTGCACTGTGGCAACCTACGACAAGGACAATCAAACCCAGACCCAAGCCATCGCCACTGGCACCGCCACGACCGCCATTGGAACCTCTACCACCTGCCCTGCTTACCAGATGGTCAACAACAATGAGAATACAAGCCCTTTAAGTCCATCAGGTGGGGTAAGCAGCCCTGTGTCAGGAACCCCCAAGCAGCTAGCCAGCATCAAAATCATCTACCCCAATGACTTGGCGAAGAAGATGACTAAATGCAGCAAGAGTCACCTGCCGAGTCAGGGTCCTGTCATCATTGACTGCAGGCCCTTCATGGAGTATAATAAGAGTCACATCCAGGGAGCTGTCCACATTAACTGCGCCGATAAGATCAGCCGGCGGAGACTGCAGCAAGGCAAGATCACTGTCCTAGACTTGATTTCCTGTAGGGAAGGCAAGGACTCTTTCAAGAGGATCTTTTCCAAAGAAATTATAGTTTATGATGAGAATACCAATGAGCCAAGCCGTGTGATGCCCTCCCAGCCACTCCACATAGTCCTCGAGTCGCTGAAGAGAGAAGGCAAAGAACCTTTGGTGTTGAAAGGTAATGCCCCTGGCCCCTCCCCAAGCTTAGTCCTGATTAGCCTGGGTTTTCACTTAGAAGTCATAGCATTCTCCTTCCCCTGGCTACAAAAGACCCAATTAGACGTTATTACTATTGCCCTCCTAGACAATAACTAGTTGAAAAGTTATTGTCTCTCAGACTTAACCAGTGTTGATGGACTAGAGGGAGCAGTGATAAACTGAAGGTAAACCTACCGATACCAGTTCTTTTATGGGAAGTTCTTCCTCGTTTTCATTTCTCTGACCAGATTAGCATTTATATGGTTTGAGAGGTGACTTTCATAAAGGCAGAGGTCACCAAATGCATCCATTCCTCTGACAAAATTCCAAGGGGACAGGCATGTTTCCATAAACATTCTATTGTTATTTTTAAACTACTGGTATTGTGGATCCTCCCAAGATGAGGTGGTGGTCATCTGATCTGATACATTGAGTAGCTGTTACTCTGAGGTCAGTGGATCTGAGTCTTAGCCTATTCACTGTCCTTGAGTTGATTAAGATGTATAATCACCCTGTATACAGGGAAGAGTAGAACTGCTCCACAGGGTTCTTGAGACTGTAAATCTTTATGGGGGCAGATAGTGTCATTGTTATTCCTTGGAGTGGTAGCTGGTGGATTTGAACCACAGAACTTCTGGTTAGCAGTCCAGTGTCTAACTCATTGTGCCACCAGGGTTCCTTTGAGCTCTGACACGGGACTTAATTGCCCACTTAATTGCCTGCTTCTTTCCACATTGTTGTTGTTCCAACCCATAGTGACCCTGTATAGGGTTTCGAGGAGTGGCTGGTGAGTTTGAACCACTGACTTCACAGTTCAAACTGGCTTTACAGTCCAGCACATTAACCTACAGCACCACACCAGGACCCCATATTGTTTCCATATCTGGTAGGGGAGCATCCGTTCCAGTGGTACCTTTTTGCATTAAACACCATCCTTTGGGGACACTGTAGCCCACTCTTTCTCTTTGGCATCTTCTGCTTGGTGGTAGTAGTGAAACACAGTCATCCGTTTTCTTCTCTACTAGTAGAGAACACAGTTTCTAGGCCACATCTCCAACCAGTCTCCTAAAATGTGTTGACCGAAGGTGTTCCCTTTGAACAAGTTACATTGCTACAGGCCGTTAAGGTGAGCAAGTTGATTGTTTGGCCGCCTCCTTGTCTTCCGAAATGATTCCCTCTATGGTTAAGTAGCATTCTAGGGAATAAGTTGTTGTTAAGTGCCATTGAGTAGGTTCTGACTCATAGTGACCCTGTATTAGATTTTCAAGGACTTGACTTGTGGGTTTGAACCATCAACATTATAGTTGGCAGTTCAGTGCTTATCCTACAGTGCTATAGCAGGACTCTAAATTCCTTCGATATGTTCTCCCTTCCTTAAGCTTGTCATCACTGAACTCAACAACCTCAAAGGCACAATCTCCTAAAGGTAGTTGACACTGGAGGGGTTGTACCCAAGGGTTCTGGCAATGCCCAGACATTTTTTGTTCTTGGGGCTTCAAGTACGTTCAGCTTTCCTTTGCGTGGGTGTGGATTTTATTGTTTCTGTATTTTTGTTTGGTTGTCTTTGAGTGATTCCCAATAAAGTTACCCTGCTGTTGTTTTCTCATCATGATATTAGTTGCTTCAGATGAGAAAATACCATGTACACATTTCACATTTGTAAGCATATCCATCAAGAGGTGTAGCCAGTGGTCTTGATGTTCTCCTTTTGCCTCATGTAGAGTTGTTGTTGTTGTGATGTGCCGTGGAGTTGGGTCCAACTCATAGAGAGCCTGCATAGGGTTTCTGAGGCTGTAAATCTTTACGGGAGCAGAAAGCCTCATGTTTCTCCTGTGGAACAGCTGGTAGTTTTGAACTGCTAATGGTGAGGTTAGCAGCCTGACTCACAACCACTATGCTACCAGAGCTCCTTTCATGTAGAGTGGTGATGGTGGTTCTATGCCATGGAGTCGTTCTGACTCATAGTGACCCTGTACAGAGTTTCCGAGGCTGTAAATCTTTACCAGAGCAGAAAGCCTCATCTTTCTCCCACGGAACAGCTGGTAGTTTCAAACTTCTGACCTTAAGGTTCCAGCCCGATTCGAAACCACTACGTAGACACGTAGACACTCTCAATTAAAAAAAAAAAAAAAAAAAAAAAGGTCTAGTGTATGATCTAAGGACAAGTACGAAATGATATAATTAAGATGACCCCAAATTTGAAAATGGGAGTGATTAGGAAGAGTTGTAGATCCTAATCTTTATTTTGTAGTGGGCATCATTGCATGTAGGATAGGGGAGGTCTGTCAGTCACTGAGTAATGAATCTCCTTGGTGCTCCTGGTAAAAGTGGGGTTTCTTTCTTTCTTTGCTGTGGGTACAGCTGAGTTTCAGGACAGCTTGAGCTTGTTCCGCTCATCAGAGAGAGTAAGATTGCCTCCATGGGGCGGGGCTGGTCACGCTGCTGACCTCACCACTGGGCGCCTTGGGCGGCCGCTCTGAGGATTTGCCATTTTCATGTTGGTGAGATACAGCGGCAGCCGATTTAGAAGACGCTCTGGTGGTAGAGGTTGAACTTTTGGCAGCTTTTTTAGTCTTTTTCTTAAATATATGGGAGTTTACGTAAAAATGCATAGTTTAAGAGCAAAGGGATTTGAATTTTCTGTTTTATTTATTATTATCATTATTTTGGTCTCTTTTGATGGAATGGCTTAGAATTGGGACCAAGATGGGAAAGAAGGGAACGGGATCATCTTCAGAATATTCCTAATTATCCTCTCATCTGAACAAACCAAAGGTAATTGCACAGTACCATTGGTGTGAAGGACGGGTGGGCATCTCTCAAAAGGTTTGTCTAGCAACTTCTCCTAGGATCTCTTGAAGTATACCCTTGAGTGGGTCAAGCAGACCATTTTGGTTTTGCTTCTCTGGGGAAGTTTCAGTAATCCCTTCCTTGGTGATGTTAGATTTTTTTTTATTCAGCAAGACTTGGTAGTGGTACCATTTTGACCTGAGTGGTTTTTGCAGAGATGGTAGTAGATGGTGGTGGAGTTTACTTAGAACATAAGGTAGAAACTTCTAAAGCCTTGCGAATTTGTTTTCAGAGATTTCAGTGTGATCTCGGGTAATTTATGGCTGGCCTATCTGATCCCCTGGTTTGTTTATAAACACTGGTTGCTACCCTCAGCTGTCCAAGTTCTGTGTCCCCCTGTCTCAGTGCCATGCTCTCTGTGTTTGGTGCTGCCTGTCAAGAGACTGGCTGCTCTGTTGCCATTTTAGTAATGCTGTGTCAGGGTGGGAAGAAACTGATCAGAGGCCCAGAAGCCCCTGGGATTAAGTTGCTGTTCTAATTTACAGTCCCCTGCCTATGCTGACCTATGTCTGAATCCATTTTGCATTCTCGTTTTCTGAAGAATAAATGGCATCAGATGCGTGTGTCTACTCAACCTGGGGGAAATGAGCCAAATGAATAAATATTTAGGATTTTGTAGTGACTTGGAAATGATTATTAATTTTATCCCACATTGAGTTTTAATATGATTTCTATCGAAACTGAGTGAGAAGGCTAGCTAATTCTAGGTATTCCATAATGAGAATTACCATATCAGCTATGATATTTCTAAGGCTCCTTTTCTTTTCCAGCAGGACAGGCTTCAGGGAAATAATTGATCATTTACCTGGATAGGATAGTCTTCCTCCTCCTTAAAGACAGTATGTGCCTTCTAAAAATTTGTTCTAGAAAATTCTCGAACATAACGTAGAAAGCAGCATAGCAAACATCTACATTAAACAATTATTAATATTTTGCCCTCGTATCTTTCTCTTCCCTTTTTGCTAAATGCCTTATAGTATAGACAAACTTTGAAAGATTAAAATTTCTTTTAACATTAAAATTTTAAGGTTGTAAATGGAATAAAGCTAGGATATTTTACAGTATACTGCAGATAGCTCTGGTAGCGTAGTGGTTAGGAATTGGGCTGCGAACCATAAGGTCAGCAGTTCGAAACTACCAGCTGCTCTGTGGGAGAAAGATGAGGCGTTCTGCTCCCGTAAAGATTTACAGCCTTGGAAACCCTGTATAGGGTATGAGTCAGAACCAACTGCAGGGCACATAACAACAACAACAGACAGTTCACTCATAAATAGCTGTGTTATGTGCCTATTGTTGAGTTTTGTTGTTGTTTTTCTTTCAAATTTAGCCTCCTACTGTAACTGCTGGAGTCCTGGTGTGGTGCTGTGGGTTAATGCGCCAGACTGCAAAGCCTTTTGAACTGCAAGGTTGGTGGTTCAAGCTCACCAGCTGCTCCTTGGAAACCCTATACAGGGTCGCTATGAGTCAGAACTGACTCTATGGCAATGAACAACAACAACTGTAAATGCTAGACTGTTGGGTCTATGGAAAAACTTTCCTCCCTCAGAGTAGGAGAGCTCGAGGTGCTTTCCTGGGGTCTGTCTCTCCTCTTTTCCACACCATGCCTAAACTTGTTCTGTGCTATTACAAAACAAAGATTAACAACTGCTGCCCTCTGACAGGCATGCTTCTGTAACAGAGGTATTTGTTAGGGAAAAACGAGAGGAGAGAGAAGCAGTTCAAGATGTTGGTACATAGGAAAGATTTGGTTTTATATGGAGGCAGATTTTTATGCTGTAAAACTTTCTACCCAATTTCCTGAGAAAGTTCCACAGTCAAAATGATTCTGAAATAAACACTTGTAGGCAATATAATGATAAAGTGAATAGCCATGCTAAGAAATTAGAGATCCTCTGAAAATATTCTTCTTTCCAGCCCAGGTTTCTTTTAAGCAGTCCCCCTCTACCCCCCCCCCCCAAAAAAAAAAATGTATTATGAACCCTGGCCTCTGTGTCTGTGGTTATGATTCCATTTCGGAATACGTTGTTTTGTTATGCTAATGAGGAAAGATTAGTGTAGGGTTTGTTTGAATCAATCTTTTTTGAGATGTAAAAAGAGATTAAACACAAGCTAGAAAGCAGAAATGGGGGA